TTTGAACATTTGACTGTCTGTCTGGTTGTGTCCTATTCTGTTTGTAATATTGTAGCACATAATAGAGAAGGTAGGTACCAAGAAGGGAACAGTGTGGTGTGCCTAATGAAGTAAAAACTTACCAGCAATAAATACTGCTGTCGTCATTCCCACCGCCACCACCAGCTACCATTCCACCCCCAAAAGAAAACAATTATTTCCCCTTCTTAGGACGAAACCTGAGTGCTGATGTTTTAGAAAGAAAGGGTTAGAAGAAATAAGAATTCCATTTTATAGAACACATTATAAATTCCTTGGTTTTTACTAACAGTATATAGAATTTAACAACAAAGGTTAAAAACATTGCGATACGTTTTCTTACCAAAAATTTGAGTGTGCCTTTTAAATGCCTTTATGGTGTACACTTTGATGTCAGCGTGTGCCTTGTGTTGACTTAATGCACAGTAGAGTGGTTTACTGATGTTCTCAAAGGGAAATATTAAAAGGTTTTTTTAAGAAGATTAACACAGGTACTTTTTCATTGTAAAAACACATTTTTATTGGTCATAGATGGAAGATTATTTTCTCTTTAAAAGAGGGTGTTTTGTTCTTTGGTTTTCATGGCTTTGTTTTGGTGGTTTGGAGAACGTGACCCAGTTGATGTATTACACTGGACCATGCTTCAAGTTCAGTATTCTGGCTCTGACAGTGAGGTTAATAATGTCTTTGCCTTTTTAAAGCAAGTTATAGTTACTTTAATCTCAAGAGGAAAGTGTTCTCAAGTATCCATAGTCTTCATTAACAGTTTGTTTTAAAACTCTAGTATCCAGGATTCTAAATTTTCATGAAATGCATTTGTATTTTCAGCCTGATCCTCCTTGAGGCAACAATCGTGTAAGTAAGATAGTTTTATTTTACTCAGAGTGCATTGTTGAAAGGTTCAAAATTCTCTTTGTTCTAGCATTCTTGGTTTTGCAATAAAAGTTAGTGTTCACGCTGAAATAGATGTTTTAGACCTAGGTGGCCTGGTATGGTGGCCACTAGGCATAGAGTACTAAAATTAAACATTCAGAGGCCCCAGATGGCAAGCGATGACTGCATTGGGCAGTACAGATTTAGGATTCTTCCATTATAACAGAAAATCTTGTTGACAGCAGTATTGTAGACTTTCTGCAGCCTTTACTCTGTAATTTTTTTTTAGTGCTATAGGAATCAGCATTAGAATAAGATTTTCTAGGAGTAGATTTATTGGTATGTTCAAAACATAGATACCTGTATTTGGCCAACGTTGGCTGTCTGGGTATAGCACGATGTGGGAGTGTGATTTTTAGAGCCGTGCTTCCCTCACCTTTTGCACATCATGGCACACCTAGAAAACAGCATGGCACACTGGGAGAAACAGGTCGCTCACAGCTGGAGGTTACAGATTTGGGTGCTCTGCAGAATCAGGCAAACCATAACCCATTCTTGGCTCACCACTGTGCAGTGGCACATACGGCTCAAAGCTCATAGTGTGCTCCATACTTCCATTCCTGGATGTTTTTTATGGTCTTTAAGCATAATTTGATTTCATTCTCCCTTTTACTCATCCTTTTTACATGTCATATTCCCAGTGAGACCTTGTGAGATCTTGGCATTTTATAACTCAGAAAATCTTTAAAAGCATCATCCATAAAACTCGGAGATTTAATAGGTGCTTATGTACACGGTGGCTCTCACACGTGTACGGATGGCTGAGCTTCCACAAGTTATGATGTTTCTCTTCTTTTTTCTCTTTTTGGGGAAGGGATGAAGGAACACCATGACTTTGTGCCTGTTTAAATTCCATCATACAAACAAGGAAAATAATTTACCTATCTGAAATATGGCTATATTAAATCTATACAGTGTAAAAATCAGCAAGAAGGCCGTGAGTCTGGCCACCTTCCCCTTCCATAGATAAAATTTCTCTACACTATTTAAGTAGCGGCTCAGTTGGCTATTTCTAAAATTTTCTCTTTGTTCGTTGGCTTTTGGCAAGATAAATATTAAAAAACACGAGTGTCTGAAGAAAATCTATAAATTGAGAAACGTGTATTCCTTTCACCCAATATTTCTCTTCCTCAAGCATTTCAAGTTGGGTTGACTTTTATGCTGTAAATCTTTGGTTCTTGTCCTTTCCTGATCAGCCTCTCACACATAATATTTTAGGCCAGTTGTTTCTGGGATTCCTCAGCCTATTGCAGGCATTCCTCTTCAAGTTTGTATCCTTGGTACAAAGCTGGTTCAGTCCTAAACGCATATCAATTTACTCTGGAACTCCCATTGTAAATAAACATTCCTGGGAAAAGAAGTGCCACAATGTAAGAGCAAATATCTTATTATTCCTGCTGCAGTCTGCAATAAATTATTGGTCTTTTCTTTTTTCTTCTTCCTTCCCCCCCCCCCCCCCCACGAGTGCGCACACGCTTCCTCCTCTTCCCCTTCCGCCATATGTTCAGTGGCTGCACTATAGCTAGCTGAGTCGGTACCATCTTCAGTACTTTGGGGTATTGTACCTGCTGCTTTATTACCTGATTCTTGTTCTTTCTTCTAGGAATAATATAAGTGTGGAATCTCCACCACCATCCTCATCCCAAACCTCCTCGATCCTTTTACTATAATGATCTCCTTACTGACTTAATCCCCTTTAGATTTTCTCTTGTCCAGCTCACCTAAGGAAGATCAAGACTTCCCCCTCTAAATCAAGCCCATCGCGTAGCACAACTATCCCCCGTTTTTCATTACTGCTCAGCAGAGAGGCTAATCATACCATGATCATTGACATAGCCTTCATTAAGTTTTAGCTATAACAGCTCATCTACCTAACGAGGAGTTGTAATTGCTTTAATTTAGGGGAATGCTACAATTTGGACCTAGGAAAAAGACGAAATAATTTAAATACTGAGCCAAGTCTCCCTATTAGTCCATTGAGTGAAGAGGAGAATAAATCTGGTGTTGGCGTCAGCTGTGAGCATTTCACCAAGCCAGGAGTTTATTCTAGAATTCAAAGATAGGTACTTTTGCTGCAGCATGATTTGTGTATTCAAATTAGCTGGTTCATTTGATGGGTTAGCCAAAGAAACCACAAACTTATCAATGCCATGGAGAAAATTGGCTAGGTTGGACTTATAAGAAAAAGAATTTGCATCTTCAAAGTGATGGTGTTGGAGGGATTGAATTTAAAGAAAATTTTTACTACATATGATTTTTACCTTATTTCCCTGATTTTAGAACCTAACCTTCAAATAAGATGTGATTCTCTGTATTCTGTCTAATATTGTAGTTTCTACTTATTTTCTCTCTTCAGCTATACTCCGCTGAGTTTTAAATGCAGAGATTATGTTTTTAATCCTTTGTTCACTACAGAAATCAGTACGGCACAGAGCACCTAATGGGGTGGCTTTTAAGTACTTACTGATATTTGGCTTACAGAGTAGTCCAATGCATTGTTTTACACCTTTGTGTTACATGTGCATGCAAGTGGAAAGAGTAAATTTATTCCTTCTTTCTGATACCACTGACTGTGGTGGGCTGTCTGGGCTAAGGTTTTTAACCTGGAGGTGAGATGCTGTCCAGACCCTCTGAAATTGTATGCAGATTTTTGTGTGCACTTAAATATGTGCGATGTCTTGGGAGAGGGCATTGTGTAACTTTGAGAAGGTTCTCAGAGAGTTCCAAAAAGGTAAAATGCCTGGGATCTGGACAATGGCGGAAGCAAAGAAAGCTTTCCAAAATCAAATGGGACATGGAAAAAAATCACTGAAAAGAAAATTACAAAATACAGTGTTGGACAGATTATTGATAAGCTATTTTGGTCAGTAAATTTTTTTAACTTAAGGTATATAGTGTTCTTTATTATATAAAGTCATATTGGTAAATTTTTCGCGTGAGCTAATGTAGACCAGAAAATAACCTTCTCATAGAAAAAGTTGACTTATTTATAGTGCATATGATAGTCTTTCCTAATTTGGCATAATGCTTTGTAGTGAAGAATTTATTAGTAACAGCGGTGAATTGTACAGTGTAATTGCTTTATCTTAATGTCCAAGTCTGTAACTTAGATTTTTTTCCTTGGGAAATGGCTCTGGTGTCAAAAAGCAAGGAAAAATAAAAACCAATAATTTTATTTGAACTTGACTGTGAAGTTAGCACCAAGTTTGGGTGCAATGTGACTGATTCTAGTAGCTGCTGCAGTGTTTGGGAGCCACACGAAGAGTTGTGCATACTGAAGGTGCATAGCACAAAGCATTTCTGGTATAAGTGTGTTCTATTTGCAAACATTTGTTTGAGTGGCCATAATTTGAATTTATTAACTTATGACATAAAGTTCCATATGAAATTACTTTTACATTCCTCCCATGTTAGTTACCGTATTTCCCCATGTATAAGATGCACCCTATTTTGGAAAATTTGGGGTCTAAAAACTGGGTGCATCTTATACAGTGGTTGTATGAGAGCAAAAGCAAGCGCAAAAAAAGCGGGAAATGCAGGTAAAAAAAATCTACAACCACTGTATAAGATGCACCCAGTTTTTAGACCCCAAAGTTTTTGAAAAGGGGTGCATCTTATACATGGAAATATGGTATATCTGCCTTAATTTTAGAGGCTATCTTTGGGTTTGCATAAAGGAACTTATCAAAAATATATAAGGAAGAAAATTAGCAAGCTATTTATTAATACTTAATGGTGTTATAGTATGTTTCACAAGTTGTTAATTTCTTTAATTCATGAATTTAGTGAAATATTAACCACTAGTATTTATTATTTGTTGTATTCCTGTTTGTTAAAATAGTGTCATATTGGTTCATTCTGGGGGGGAAAACTTTTTTGGGAGGGCGGGGGGTGAACCAAAATATTTATAAAGAACTTTAGATTCACTTTATTTCTGATGGCAGGTTGATAGAGAGACTTGGGATGTTAGAAAAAACATAGCAAGTTCTACAGCTCTAGTGAATTGGGAAAGAAAAGCTAATATCTTTTTGTTTGTTTCCAATATACAGCAGATATAATTTCGACAGTAGAATTTAATCATTCTGGAGAATTACTAGCAACAGGAGATAAAGGTGGTAGAGTCGTCATCTTTCAACAAGAGCAGGAGGTAAGTGTTTAAAGTTTAATACCTACATTTCAGTTTGCTCTTGGGACTGGAGCTTGCGTTGCACTGGAGAATCTCATCAGAAGATAAATTGGCAGTTTTGAAAAGAAGTGTCTGTTTATCGAGCAGAATATCCAAGGTATAGATAGCCTTGTTTCCTGTAGCTTTGTGTTTAGGTACGTGTGCACGTGTGTATGTGTTTTGATTTTAAACAACTCTGTAATGGTAAAAAGATTTGGTTAGAGAAATGGGTGGGAAGTGGTGGAATAATGCTAGATATTAACTGGTTTTAAAGCCTTGGCCCTCATTGTTTTCTTCTTAAAACATAAAGCAAAATTGCTTTGATCTCTTCTCAATGCTTAGTTTGCTTTGTGTAGCTGGGAGTGGGAGGCTAGCTTAAAGAAAAAGGCAATTATTTTGATGTCAATTCATAGTAATATTACTCTGATTTTAATATAAAGGTTTTAAATGAGTTGGATATATATATATGTGTGTGTAGTGTGATTTATAAGCTCAGTACCCCCTTTTAAGGTGGAGTTGATTTCAAATTTTTTTCTTTTTGAAGAAAGGAATTTCTTATTGCAGAATCTAACATTAAAGTGGGTTTGGTTTTGTTTTAGGTGCAAAAGTTAGGCACACTTCTAAATCTAATTGAAAAGATTTCTTATTAAAATTTTTTGCTGAAGAAAATTTGTCACACTGGTATTTTCCCTTACTCTGTCCCGCCATTTGTAGATCAAAGTTAAATCTTTAAAATCATTTTTGAAACATCCTGCCCCTTCTCTGTAATATGTATTCAAAAACAGTTCAAAGTAATGTGGATAATTGCAAGGGTTTACAACTAGATGTCTCAGTCATAACACAGAGTTAGGGTTTAAAGGATTGTAAAGTTCCTTCAATAAGCAAAGACTCTAGTAATAATACTACTACTTTGCACTTCTATAGCGCCTCTGACCTGAGGACCTCAAAGTGCTTTACAAACACTAATGAATTAATCCTCAAACACCCCAGTGAGGTAGGTAATTTAATTTTAAAAGAAATGATTGATAGTGTCTGCTTAGAAGATGCACATACACTAAATATGTCTCCTTTTATTATTATATTCGTTGGAAGAATATATGAAAATAAGACTCAAGTTTTCCTCGACTGAGAATGTTTTTGAGGGAAGGGGGATGCAAAATCAGTTTTCTGTTCCCATTTTCCAGCAGTGAGAAACTTGACCATAAGAATCTTGAAATACTTAAGAAAGTTGAAATGGAAACTTATAGATCATTACAGTTTCCCTGTATGTGCAAATGAGAAGGTCCCAGATGTTAAGAGATCACTTGAGGGCCGGCCGAATGGCGCGTTGGTTAGGAGCTGGGCTTGGAACGCCAGAGGTCCCTGGTTCGGATCCCACATATGAGGGCCAGTGAAACTGCCCTCTACAGCTAAGATGCTGAACAACAGCTCAACCTGGAGCTGGGCTGCTGTGAGTCGCCGGCAACAGCGTAGGCTGCAGCCCCTGCTGCAGTGGGTTGCCATGGGCTACCGTGTGTAGCCAGCAGCCAGCATGAGCGGCCGTCCAGAAACCGGCGACTGATCTGCCTCGCCTGGGAAGAGCGCAATGATGGTGCCAACTTGGGCCAGTGAAGCAACATCCTCCACAACTAGACTGAAGAACAAAAGGACAGCAACTTGTCTGTTCCCCTTCCCCCAAATCCCCAGCGCTGTTCCCATCCCCCAATTCCCCAATTAAAATCTTAAGAAAAAAAAAATCACTTGATTACTTAGCGACAGAGCTAACAACTAGAACCCAGAACTTCTGATGCGTCATCTTTTCAATGTTCTTTGATGCTTTTCATGTCAGATAATGAAATGTGAATGTTAATATCGCTATTCAGAATTTAGAGCTAGCTTGCCCATACACATTTTCTGCCCTAGAGTGTTTTTTTGGGGGATTTTCTTTGTTTTTTTAATGAAAGTCAGTGGCTCTCTTCACTTTGTTTTAAAGAAACGTGTTTGGAGAAGAATGTCTTAATTTTGTTTCCTAAGCAGTTTCATCATGAAGGATAATATACAAGCTTAACATTCAGGGTTTCTGAGAGAGTCTATGTTTTTATTTATTTATTTATTGTTATTATTTTTTTAGCTGAGCCATCCTGCCACCTTTTGGCTCAGCGGCAGTTCAGCTTGGGCCGTGAATCGAACCAGTGACCCTGTTGCTCAGAGCTCAGACTCTTGAATGAGCTCTTAACCAACTGAGCCACTCGGCCGGCCCTGAGAGTCTTTGTTTTTAATGAGAGCTTTATGTTATTTTAAAGTCTAAGTTAATTAAAAGCTAATTGAGAAATATTTTGCTTGAGAATGAGGTCATTTTCACCTATAGAAGATAATTTGTTATTGAAGTCAAAACTAAATGTGAAAAAAATGACTCAAATTTAATAGGGAAGATATGTGATTTAATAGGGGTTCGATAAATGTAGTCAGAGTAATAGGTTAGTATCGTCCTAAAGGCTGTCAGTAATATATTGAATTGGAATTTAAGGTCTAACATGGAGTTACTGAAACTGTTAAAACATTTTACTTGTATCAGAAAATAAAGGCAAAAGATTTAAAGAATAATCATTTCCTGTGATTCTTTTCTGAAACTTTGCTGAAAATTCTAAAGCGCTAATACTTAAAATATGTACTAGTACTCTTATAAGAAGGAATAAGCAAAACAACTAACTTTTTGAGAAGTGCCGCTGATAGTCTATCATTCTTAACTGCATGTAAGAGTTTAAGACAAGATTCTTTATCTAGAACCTCAGATTTGTACCGTGTCTTTTGAGAATTACTGAATGTAAATATCAGTGTATTTTTTAAGTGATAGGTTAAAATGCAGTGATAGTAATAATTGAATTTTCCTCCCTGAAACTTGATCTTACTACTCTTAATATGGTGTATTTTACACATAATTAATTTTCTTCATTTTTAAGCCCTCTCTTATACTGGAGCTTCTAATATAGTGCTATCTTCAGGACAATCAATGTCTGCGTTACTGATTATAAATGTATGTACTTTACACCTCTAGAGGCACCTTCATTTCAGTACCTAACATATTTAGATTTTTCATATGTATCCATCTGTAAAATAGTTCTACATTTTGAAAAGTGGAAGAGAACTTAGAGATGGTCTTTTCCTAATTTTTAGATAAATCTTGGGAAAAGTTTCAATAACAAGATTATATTGCTTAGTTTCATAGCAAAGCTCTGGTATTTCTAAATTTCAGTCCAGCTTCTAACAACCACAGCTATTATAATGCCTTCCAGGGTGCACTGGTGCCTATCCAGTGAGCATTTCATAGTCGCTGAGAATGCGAGGCTAGCGCTGTTTGCAAGACACAAGGGCATTTGCACTGGGGTGGCTTTATCCTCTCCCCTTCAGCTTCACATTGGGCAGGGTTACTTGCACAACTTTACTTGACTGGAGACAAAAATATTTTCACCCACTCTTTTTGTTGTCCTTACTTAATTAGGAAAAAAGGTCATACAGTAGCAGCAGTGAACCTGGCACATCAAACCTTTTACATCTTTAATCCACCTCTCTGTCTCACTCCTTTGACCCTTCAGACGTGTCAGGTCCCCTTCATGTCATCCTTTTGGGCATCTCTTGCTGTCTCTCCATGTATCCCCCCGCCAAAGAAACCGAGTATTCATTTAGAGGGTCTTCATTCAGTTTGAATATATTTCAGCCTGGTGATCCTATAACATTATTTTGCTGTCATTTAATAGTATTTTTATAACTAATATGTTTGAGTAGCTTTTTGTTTGGCAGAATCTCTGTGATAGGAGCAGGTCAGGTAGGGAAATTAAGGCACAAGGGTAAAGTGATTTTCATGAGGTATCATAACCCACCATGTGGTCAGTAAGGGTTCAATTTGTTTTTATTAATTTGTTTACCAATTACAGTTGGCATACAATATTATATTACTTTCAGGTATACAATATAGTGATTAGATATTTATATACCTTACAAAGTGATCACCCCAGTAAGAGGTCCATATTTTTTATATCTAATCCATGTCCTGAAATAGCTGACCCATTTTACTAATATGTTTTCATAGTTTATATGTAATAGCTTTTGATAACAAAGTAGGTATGTGGGCGTTTTTTTTTTTTTAATGGACAGCTGAGAAAGGTGGGAGGGCAAGGTACTGCTTTTTTCATTTCTTCTGGATTCTTTCTAGATTGTTGTGCCGCCTTTGTTTTCTGTATTTGAGGACTGCTGGTAACTTGCTAGGATTTTTCTTTTTTTTTTTTGTCCTTAATGTGGTACTCCTAAAATTCCTTAACAGGATATAGAAGAAATCTTAGAAAGCATGCTTACTGCAAAAGGCAGATGGTACTGTTAATATGATTACTATATTCTCTTTCTAAATTATTTTAAAAGACTAGAATGGGGCTCAAAATCAACAAGATGCATTTTAACAAAATTCAATGTCATTTATACAAAGGATTTGATGTTTATTTAAGGGGAAGAACAGGGTGATGTGGCAGCATTCTACTTAACATGGTACTTAACTGTGTGCCAATCAGAATAGCAGATTAGACATTTCATGGTTGAAGGGATCGAGGCTGTATAGCCAGAAGAAGAGACTATGAAGAGTCTTGATATTTAGGGATTCATGTGGAAGAAGAGTTGATTTTGTATATGGAAATAAATACACAAGCGCTGAATGCCCACTGTCAGGAATATTGAAAAAAGAACACACAAGAAGTTCAAGAAAATACCACTATGATTTCTTGCAAATCAAAGATCTATAAAATAAGCTTCCTTTTCTAAGCTACCAGCCCTTAGCTGTCTTCATTTTTCATTCACTCTCTGATCTAAGGTTGTGTTTTTCAGAGTACAAAATGTTAGAATCACCTGGGGCATGTATTTAAAATGCAGATTCCTAGAGTGCGCCTCAAAACCACTAAATCAGAATTGCTGGAGGCCCAGGACTGTGACACTTTTGCTTTAAAAAAAAAAAAAAAAGTCCTTTGAGGGCTCCATCTGATAGAAAATGTAAAATTAAAATTGTCTGTATTCCAATACTAGGATAATGATAAAAACTCCAAAACATAATTTCAGGTTTATATTACCTAAAAATATTTTTAAACTGTTTTCCCAAGATAGAGTATGCATATGGGAAAATGGACAGAACCCTCAGTGTACAGTTCCATGAATTTTCACAAAATTTTCACTTGTGTAACTAACTCTCCCCTGGATCAGGAAATGTGATGTTACTGGCACTCCGGAAGCCTTCTCTGACCTCTGACCTCTCCCAAAGCTGACTGCGTTTGTTTAGCCTGTTTTTATTTGTATGTGGTACATTCATAGAAATTGAGGGAAAATTTGCAGGGTTCTTAACCTTTTTTGTGCCATTGATTCCTTCAGTAGCCTGGTAAATTCTGTGGACTTCTCAGAATGTTTTAATTGCATAAAATACATAGGATTATGAAAGAAATTATATTGAAATATGTTTTTCAAGGTATTTAAAAAAACATTTGAGTAATAATATGTTTTTGTCCTTGGATCTGATTTTTAAAACGTCATTTCTGTAGTGATACACAGATATTGATAATACTGTGGTTTGTTGCCTACATCCATAATCAAAAGAAATGCTGTATTTCTGCTGCAGATGAGTGAGAATAAATATGTAAATTTCTACTGTATCCAAGTTCACAAAATCCTTGAGATCTATCCATTGGGCCCCTGAGGATTGGGTGTCTGTGGGCCTCAAATTCACAACCTCTGGTAATGCAGTCTCATTTTGCCAGTAAAGAAACTGGGAGCCCAGACAATAGGTTAACTCATCCAAAGTCATCCTGTTAACAATAGGTGAACCCTTACTCTATAAGTCACGCGTCCTGATTCCCTGTCCATAACCTTTTCCATTCTGACCTGGGTATAACAGCAACAGATTATCTCATCCTTGGTGCTTTGTGTTGCTTCCCTGAATTATAATGGACCTTAATTTCTACTTTGACTCAAGTTTCACGTACATAAGTTACTTGAAGATAGAGATTCTGTGTCATTAAACCTGTACCTGTAGGACCCAATGTGCATAATACTATAATCTTAAGTTTAAAACACGGCATTCATATTAAAAATTGAATTGCTATTTATTGTAGTTTTCTTGCAGAGTAACATGACCAATCTTTTGAGACAGAGTGAGTAACTTTTAGTGGAAGATTTATGAATGTCTTCTAAAGTGGTATTAGTGTATACATATTTAATTAATTGGGTTATCTAATTTGGTAGAGTATGGTAATGAGACAGAGGTTCTGGTATTTATCCTTTCCGTATCCCCAGTGTAGATTATGTTCTGTGGTATGCTCTGCACACTTAATATTGGCAAACCCACTCAATAATAATTGACAATGCTATCAGAGGGTCCAAATATAACTGTAACCATGACTCATCAATCCAGATAATCAAGCTACTGGTAAAAACCAATCCAAAACATATGCTTTCAAGATGACGATTCAGTAAGGTTTTCTGTTTATATAGAGAATAATAATAAGTAATGGGTTATTCTTAGTAACAAGTAATGTTAAACATTTCATTTGATATTTCACTTTTATTTAAAATAGTTGACTATCAATATCTTTAAACTGTGGGGGCCGGCCAAGTGGCTCAGTTGGTTAAGAGCTCACTCAAGAGTGCAAGCTCTGAGCAACAGGGTCGCCGGTTTGATTCCCAGCCCAAGCTGAGAGCAGCAGCTCAGCTGCCAGCAGGTGGCAGGATGGCTCAGCTTAAAAAAAAAAAAAACAACTGTTATTCAATAAGCTCTTTGAACTAGACTTTGAATATTTTTGATGGAAAGATTTTTTAATCATGTGATGATAGGTTAAAAGATGAAATTCTGAACATGGTTAGAATTCTCACTTTTGCTCAGGTATTATTAGTGTTAGCTGAAGAAGTTCACAAGTCGTCTCTTATCCAATAGCTTAAACTATATTCACTCACAGTGGCACTAAATGAAATAAATAAGCCGTGTGCACTAGGCTCATAATAGAAGAAGGCTAATTTCAGGAGGGTAAGCAGTAGTTGATGGGGCAGTTGGGGGTGGGTTTGCTGGGTAATGCTGAATGTGGGCATAATGAGTGACAGAGCTCTGTAACTCTGGTGTTGGGTGGGAGGTGGGTTCAGATGGTGCCATTACCTTTATAAGATCTCTTAAAGAGTTTTTCAGCAGTGAAATGACCTAAAGTCAGGCAGGAGAAGGGGAAAAGAGGGAGACAATATATCATATTAAATAACTGATTGAGAATTGACCCTAAAGTTGGCAGAGAAAGAACATGTGCCTCAGCCAGCTGTTTCTGACAAGCTTTTCTCATTTAAGCTTTACTTTTTAAATGAGCACCGTTATTAAGGATGCTCAGGGTTTGTTTGTTTTATCAGTTTGTGTCTATACTATTTCAAATATGGTAAATTAGTAATCAAATTGATCCGTATTTCAGTGTCGCTTTTCCTAGTGAATTGGGCTTAATCATTAGAATTTATTTAGCTTTTCCCTTTGTTTTCTTTTAAGCTTTCTTATTTTTCCTTATTTATTCCTTGAAAGCCTCTCTCTCTCTCTCTCTCTCTATATATATATATATATATATTATATAAAAAAATATATTTATATATATATATATATATACCGTATTTGCCAGCGTATAAGACGATTTTTTGGCCCTGAAAAATATGCTTCCAAGTGGGGGGTCGTCTTATACGCCAGGTACACTTCAGATACGCCGGCAAATACGGGGTGTGTGTGTGTGTGTGTGTGTGTGTGTGTGTGTGTGTATATATATATATATATATATATATAAAATTGTATATAAGATACAGGTAATGAATTAACCAGAACTTGCAAGATCTGTTGGAATTGATTACGTTTGATTATTTTTGAAATATTTCTCAACAGTGGTCCAAATATTTTTGTTTCCATTTTAGAACAAAATCCAGTCTCATAGCAGAGGAGAATATAATGTTTACAGCACCTTTCAGAGCCATGAACCAGAGTTTGACTACTTGAAAAGTTTAGAAATAGAAGAAAAGATCAACAAAATTAGGTGGTTACCCCAGAAAAATGCTGCTCAGTTTTTATTGTCTACCAATGGTAAGTGTAAATTTTTTCTTTTTGTTGGATACTTTTCCTGGTTTATCTCCATGTGTCTTCTTTGAAGGCTTTCTTGTGCTCTTCTGTGGTTTGAAATAAGCAAGGCAGCATAAAACCAGATGAGCCTTTCAAGACACTAAACTCTACAAAGGCTCAGTACAGGGAGAGACACTGGGAATTCCTGTGCTTGGGTCAGGGCTTGTGAATCTCTGTAGTACTTTTCTGTAGACAGTCAACAGTGTCTCCTAAATAGGTTTATGTAAATTTGAGAAATCATCGATTAATAATAAAAGTGATTTTAAAGGACACTACACAATGCGTTGTAGGTTTTTGTCTATTTGTTGTTGTTAATCAATACTAAATAAAATACAAGTATTTGAGGGTTGCATTTGTGTGTGTGCTAAAAATAGAGCCCAATGTAGAAGAATAGGTATGGGCATTTTACAAACCACTGTGTCTGGGTATGGTGAGATAGGAAAAAGGATGGGAGGAATAGGACTTTAGGTATATCTGAAAAGCTTTATTTTTCAAAAAGAGAGAAAGCAATTATAGGAAAATGTCAACATCTGTTAAATCTGAGTAATATCTTTATATTATTTTATATAGATATAGCCTAATAATACCTCCTCCCCGCAAATGTGTAATGGGTCTTTATAGTCATGAAAAGATTAGAAACTACTGTGGGAGAATGGTAGAAAATAGAACCAAATCTGATTCACCAAAATTAATCTTAATTTCATCTACATTGGCTTTCCATGATCATCATAAACTGGTCAGTGTTTCCCAGATCACTTTTACTTAAATAATTTTATAGTCACTTTTTATAACTAGTTCATGTAATGTTTCAAGTGATTTTATTCTTTCTCTTCTGTCTTTTGCCTTTCTCTGAATTCTCCCCAATTCCTCCATGTTGCAAAAATGTCCCAACTCTAACCTGCTGACCATGGGTCTTGAATATGAGTAATACAAAGTTCACTCACAAATAGGTTGTTTTACAGAAGGCTGCATTCCCACAGAGGAAACTTGGTAGCATGGTTTTCCCTATCCCAACCCTCTGCTGTGGTGAGGGAAACACGAACTTTTGAACTTATGGTATACTTCTTTAGTGATTAGTGCTGACAATTTAAGGAATCACCATAGAGCAGTAATTCTTACCTGTTGGAAGTAACAGATCTCTTTGAGAGTCTGATAATCCCCTTCACAGAAAAGTGTATTATATTCACATAATCGTACATGCAGTCTTATGGAGTTCGATTATTCTCATTGTATGTCCACCTATGGGCCAAACATTCCAGATTAAAAAGTCACTACCATAGAGCATGTGCATTTAAATTTTTTAAAAATTTGATCTCATAGTTATTAAAATTATTTCATTTCCAACTTGCCTTGTCCTCAAGCAGTGCACTGAAATTGTATAGTATTTCTGTGTCCTGTGTTTATACTATTAAAAATGTTTTTATCCTCTTTAAGTCACAAATTGTATCACTTTAAAAAAAATTTTTTTTTTTTTTAAAGATTTTTATTGGGGAATTGGGGGAAGGGAAACAGTGCTGGGGAATCGGGGGAAGGGGAACAGACAAGTTGCTGTCCTTTTGTTCTTCAGTCTAGTTGTGGAGGACGTTGCTTCACTGGCCCATGTTGGCACCATCATTGTGCTCTTCCCAGGCGAAGCGGATCAGTCGCCGGCTTCTGGACAGCCGCTCACGCTGGCTGCTGGCTATACATGGTAGCCCATGGCAACCCACTGCCACAGGGGCTGCAGCCTACCCCGTCGCCAGCGACTCACAGCAGCCCAGCTCCAGGTTGAGCTGTTGTTCAGCATCTTAGCTGTGGAGGGCAGTGTCACTGGCCCGCATATGTGGGATCCAAACCGGGGCCCTTTGGCGTCCCAAGCCAGCTCTTAACCATCTCGCCACTCGGCCGGCCCTCACTTTAAAATTTTTGAAGTTTAGTTTGTTTTAAAAAATATTTACCCAATTTTTCATGAATTTTTAAAAGAATTTTCTTTCAATAACACTGTTAGGAACCACAAACTGATTTCATCTCGTGCAAGTTTAATAAATATATTGCAATTTCTTTATCTGGATCTTTAATAAAGTGGATGAATTTGAACAGGCCATAAGACAGTTTTGGGGGTTGGGTGGCGGGTGGGGGTGGGAGCTTGTCGTCCTCATAATCTTTAGATGATAATTTTCCCAAAATATAGAATTTAGGCTTAATTCATTTATATTATAGATTTGGGGACAAGTAAAATATTCTAAATGTATATAATTTTTATCTAACTTAAATACATATAAATTAAATTGCACATAGAAAACGCATGTTACTTAACTGCAAGATAACTAGAAACATGATTCATAGGGTTTAGGTGAAATATTAAATTACAGGTTAGCAGAGTTAGCCATTATTCTTTGTTTACACTTCATCTTTGCCGAGAGCATCCCCAGGGGCAGCTGGCATACTCTTCTCTACGAGGCAGAGAGGGGTGTCTGGACTAGAGGAGTCATTCACTGCTACCTCTATGTATGACAGTTTTTTGGTTTTGTTTTTGGTTTTTGGTTTTTTTGTTTGAATCGGAGGAGGGGAACAGTGATGGGGAATTGGGGAAGTGGAACAGACAAGTTGCTGTCCTTCTGTTCTTCAGTCTAGTTGTGGAGGACGCCGCTTCACTGGCCCATATTGGTATTATGATCATTGGGCTCTTCCTGGCTGAGGCAGTCGGTTACCGGTCATTGGACAGCAGCTCACGGTAGCTCCCGCCGGCTGCTGACCACTCATGGCAGCCCAGCTCCAGCTCGAGCTGTTGTTCACAATCTTAGCTGTAGAGGGTGCAGTGTCACTGGCCCATGTGGGAACCGAACCGGCGGCCCTACTGCTCAGAGCTCACACTCCCAAGCCAACTCTTAACCAACTGAGCCACTCGGCCGGCCCTGTATATCAGTTTTTAAAGTGACTTTGTATATTATTTTTTTAAATTGTATTATGCCCATTTGTTTATGAAAGACCATTAAGAATATGATATTTCTATGAGTGCAAATTTAGGATTATAACACAAAGTATTAAAACAACATGCATAAATCCATGACAATATAAATAAAGGATTGAATGAACAAAAGTAAGTGGGAGAAGTGATGCTTCTTATAGGAGAATTCCAAATACTGTGTGGATGGATAGTGCTCCCTGCGGTGAGTATAACTTCTCCCCTTTAAGTGTGGACTGAGTTACTCGTTTCCGAAGAATAGAGTGTGGCAGGCAGGGAAATAGTAACTGCAGTGGAGATACTAGCACATACTGCCATAGCCAAGTGATCAAAGCTAACCTCCACAGCAGATCAGCGCCCCCTGTTGATAACACGTAAACCCTCACTTCACCTCTGGTGCTCTTCCTAAAATCCCAAGATCCCAGTCTGGTTGAGAAAACAGCATATGTACCCATTTGAAGGACATTCTACAAAATACCTCACCACTGCTTCGCAGAACTGTCAGGATGATAAAAAATAAGGACAGTCTGAGAAATTTTTCAAGAGAGAGAGACTGAGACTTGACAACTAAATACAGTGTTGTTTGGATTCTGGATGGGATCCTGAAACAGAAAAAGGGAAGTTAGGAGAAAACCTGGGAAATCTGTGTGCAGTCTGCAGTTTAGTTAATACTAATAATGTACAGTGTTAATTTCTTAGTTTTATAAATGTACCAGGTTGCATGATACATTGACATCAGAAGAAACTTGGATAAAGAGCATGGAAGCACTCTGTGCTGTCATTTTAACTTAATCCAAAATAAAGTTTGTTTTTAAAATACTATTTTATATATCCTTAATATCTCAGAATTTTGTCTTGAAGGACTTGGAGATGTATGCTTTTAATTGGTCAGTTTTTTCCAGACCCTGTTAACCTACTTATCCCTAATACAGTGGGGAAAGATAGATTTAGACAGAGGCATCCAGGCTAGGAAGTGTGGGACCAAGAGAGAGAGATATTCCTTACCATAAGTTAGGCTATCTTAACCAACTTTGTTGTTCTCTTTTAAAAATTAAATATTGAACATATATTGGGGGCGTGCCAAAAAAATGTATACAAGTGGACACTGGTCAATGTTGCTCAAGCAGTAGTTCGCCGTAATCAGAAGTGTCTAGACACTGATGGTAACCACTTTGAGCATCTCTTGTAATTGCAGAAGTCAAACATGACTTGTATACGTCTTTTATCGGTTTGTATTGAGTATTACAATTTTAATACAGTTTTCCCTTATTAAAATGTGCATACATGTTTTGGCACCCTCTGTATATGTATATGTTTGTATGTACAGACATACTTGTATATGTTTACATACACATACATTTTTTTCCCCTTTAGCTTTATTTTTTAAAGATAAGGACCTGGATGTGACTAGATTTTAACATCAAATGGAATTTTATGGGTTTCATTAACATAAATTTGCAATTTCTGTCCTGTATTTGCATGTATTCAGTGTTTTTATTTACCTGGTAATAGGAAATTTGTTTTATTAAGTCAGATAAAGGATTTTTATTTTGGGGATTTTTATTATTTTTTTAGGTGAAATATGAGGTGGCATGTTTATACCTTAAAATATCTTTCTTCTATGAGTATTACTCATTTTTTGAGGACTTTCTTCATTGTCTCCCCAGATAAAACAATAAAATTATGGAAAATCAGTGAAAGGGACAAAAGACCAGAAGGGTATAACTTGAAAGAGGAAGATGGAAGGTTTAGAGATCCTACTACAGTCACTACACTACGAGTAAGTACATAAGAAAAAATGATTCTAATTTTGATAGTGTTCTGTGCTCATATTATATAGTCTCGACCTTGAGTAGAACTTCAGTAGGAATAATTACAGTCCGACCCCTCCCAACAATCCTGTAACTAGATAGGACACTAAAAACTCCCATTTTTAATAGACCTTGACCTACATAGAGGTCTCTCTGTGGCCAGGGGCAGAACTAAGACTCAACACAAGGCTGCTTGCTACATAGTGTGCCACACAGTCTCTTGTTCTCGTGGTGTGAATATCAGCTCCTACAAAATTAAGTTTCAAGATTAATTTTCTTTGGAGATCAAAAAAGTTGAAATGGATCAAATCCTCCAGTACAGTAAAAAATACCAAGAATTAGACACTCTGGGCTAATTTCCTTTTTAGCTACTTTAATTTAGACCATAACACTATTAGCTTTGCAAGTCTTTCAAGCAAAATATTGGAGCTAGGAAGAACTACAAATTCTAGTAGTGCTGCTATCTGTAAAAGAAGATTACTTGTCCAAGTTGTTTATTTTTCTTCTCATTTCAACACTTTAAAGAGTCAACATCAGTTGCTTTTTAAAATGAAATCTGTGTAATATTATATTGTTTTATATTCCCTCAAAAACTAGAAATGAAGTGTTCTAACCTTAAGTGCTATTGTAAACAATGAACATTTTGTACTGACTGTTTTTCATGTGTCTTATTGACAGGTGCCAGTCTTTAGGCCCATGGATCTAATGGTCGAGGCCAGTCCACGGAGAATATTTGCCAATGCCCATACATATCACATCAACTCAATTTCTATTAATAGTGATTATGAAACATATTTATCTGCAGATGATTTGCGGATTAACCTTTGGCATCTGGAAATTACAGACAGGAGTTTTAGTATCCATTTGGTTTCATTTTTGTGTTGTATAAAGTCAGTAGCAATATATCTCCAAACCCCATTTTTATTGTTTATATTATCTTCCAGAAAATTTTCTGTGCATGCACAAGCATTTGATGTATAAACATATATATACATATGGAGATGTATACAAATATATTTGTTTTTTAAGTATGTTCCTAAAATTCTTGATAAATGTTAGCAGCTATTACTACTGCTATTAATATGTTTTTCCAAATACATAGCATTTGAAAAATTAATACTTCACTGTAATTCATACTTAACAGTGTATGAAAGAGTCTGTTTTCCTATACCTTTACCAGTCTACTTAGTGATAAGTCCTCTTGTTTTGATTTGCATTTCTTTCATTATGAGTAGACAAGCATTTTTCATATTTATCAACTATTTATGTATTTTTCTTTTCTAATATTTTCATTAGATTTGCATGCTTTCATTATTTTTGTTTTTAAAGCACTTTTTATGTTAAGTAAATTAGCTCCATTGTTTGTGTACACTAAGCTCTCTTAATATTTAGGAAGGTAAATGCATCAGTCTTTTCTTTATGACTTCTGGGATTTGTGTTATACTCAGAAAAACAGACCTCTAAACTTAAAATTAAAATTTGTCCATGTTTTCTTCTAATATTTTTTTTTAAACATTAAAATAAAAGTTTTGATTCCTCTGGGATTATACTCATAAGGACTCGAATGCAATTGAGAATTATAGTAATACTTGTGCTTCAGCCTATGAATGAATTTTAGATTTGAGAAATGTAAGATTGCATTTGCCCTTTTTTCTAAGTGGAAATTCCTTAATAAGATGCTATCCAGATATTGTGGATATCAAGCCTGCCAATATGGAAGAGCTGACAGAGGTGATTACAGCAGCAGAATTCCACCCAAACAGCTGTAACACGTTTGTATACAGCAGCAGTAAAGGAACTATTCGGTTATGTGACATGAGGGCATCTGCCCTCTGTGATAGGCATTCGAAATGTAAGTTCATTGCTTCTTTGTTTTCAAATGATAGTATTTTCTCTTTGTCTGAAATTAGCCTCAGACATCGTAGCCACATGTACATAGGTTTACAAGTCTTAAACTTGTGTGCCCAGGGCAGCTGCTGACTACGTGAGACATCGTAGGTTATTTGGAAGAATATAGAAGGCTTTCTCAGGAGCCTGTCAGTGTCTCAGCGGATATATTTTTACTGGAGTTTTAAACATTGGGAACTTGGATGTGAGGCTCTTCAACCCTGTATTCAAGTTCAGCCAGTGTTACTTTCTTTTTTTCCCCTCCCTCTCTCCCTTTCTGATTTGAGCTTCCTGGGAAGATTTCTCCTAAGAAGAGGTTTCCTTGGCTTAAAAAAAAAAAAGTTTGAAAAGCTCTGGGTTAGAAAATTAAGGGGGTACGTTATTCTTGTCTTCCTGTTTTTGAATATTTTTAAAACTCATGAAAATTGGCACCTGCCTATTATCAAACTAATTTTACCTGGCCACTCAAAAATGAAATGCTGGTATGAATTTGAGTGGTGAGGATGGTGTGTTTCTTGTGGTGTCAGTACAGGCAGTCAGTGAGGGGTATGCAGAGCCTGCACCCCGTGCCCTGGAGTCAGAGGCCTGGGTGAGCCTGGTCTGCTCAGTGATCCAGGGGCCTCTGGAAGCGAACTCCCTCCTTCTACAGCCTCAGTTTTAGTGTTTACGGAATTCTCTTAAGAAACTTTCAGGGACAGCCATCTTCTTACAGCCAGAGAGTTGTGTCTAAGTTCTTTAGTAGGTGGTCATTTTTAGCTCCCTCTTAGGAAGTTTGTGAGTGGTTTCAGCAAATGCTTTGTGCAAGCCGGAATATTACACAGATTGATTGATGTTTTTGCTTGTGTGTTTTGCTTGTTTTTAGTGTTTGAAGAACCTGAAGATCCCAGTAACAGGTCTTTTTTTTCTGAAATCATCTCCTCTATTTCTGATGTAAAATTCAGCCATAGTGGTCGCTATATGATGACTAGAGACTATTTGTCAGTCAAAATTTGGGACTTAAATATGGAAAACAGGCCTGTTGAAACATACCAGGTATTTACAGTTTTTTTCTGTCGATCATATACCCTGTTCAAGTGTTTACAGAGATGGATTTTGTATTATGTGTAATACAGTGTTTGTTCACCATTAAGCTTTTTCTTGCAGAGGTCCATGAATGTGTTGTTTTCCCTTATGTTAGATGTATATAGACTTCTATAAGTTATCTTGTCTATTCACTTTTGCAGTTTAAGTGTGATTTTGCTACCAGTTTGGTTCAATATTGATAGCTTTTTCTCTTCCTTCTACTTATATTTAAAGTGAGCAGAGAAGAGCACACTCTATAGGGTCTGGGGGAGGAGGGCTGGGTGGAGAGGATTGAGAAAAGAGGTGTCCAGGCAGGAGGATGTGCAGTCGTAGTTGAACTAGAGCTTAACTTGGTCATAAAATGTTCAAGGGACTGGCATTCTGCCTTTCGGCTGATAACTCTTGGCTGAAGCTAACGGAGAAGGGTTTGGAAGCCCAGCGGACAGCTTTAGGAGTTGCCTGTCTGTTGTAGGATGTCACTTCTGGATTGATGTCTTGTCAGCCAACCACTACCATTGATCCCTAATATTCTCTTCTAGAGAAGAGAATGAAGATGCGCACAGTCGGGAAGGGGTGGGGCGCAGAAACCTGTGTTAGGCCCTAGGCGGTTACAGTGTAGAACATGCTTGACATACAGAATTCACAAATGGTACTTTTATGTTCTGTGTTCTCAGTAAAATTAGAACGGTATTTCTCAAACTTTGTAATCCTCTTTTAACAAACATAAACCACTTAAGATTCTCCTTAATGGTATTTGAAATGTCCAAATATATGCTACACTGAAGCAAATGCAAAGAGATAATACTGCTCTGTTTTCAAATTACATTCGTACAACTGCCAAGATCCTGATTTGTGTCCCACTGATTCTCACCACCACCCCCCATTCCCACTGAGAGTAATTGATTTGAGCCATAACTTCATACTCTTAAATAGTTTGATGAGAAGCCCTGTACATGCCGTCTAAAACTTGGCTGAATTGTTGTGACTTACCTAACTTGATCTCATAGCAGCTTTTCTGCCTTTTCTGAATTAGGTTAGTGATTGAGACTAGAGTCACACTCAAAGGTAGCATATGCTGATTCAGCTATTTTGTGGAGTTTGTATAAGCATCTTGCTAAGCTCTGTGTGATTGAAGGGTAATTTTGATCTGATTTTTTTGCCTTACATGCTCACTTTCAATGCTGATCCTACGTGAATTGCAATTCCTCCATGTTAACACATTTTCACTTAATGTCATATAGACGTGGCCTGAATCACTCCACTAGACTTAAAGTTGATGGACACTTACAGGACTTTAGGTTGCTTCATAAGGAATAGAAAGTTCTAAGCATTTAGCTGGTACCTACTCTTTTCTGTCACCCATTTTTTAAGGTTCTCTGTAAGTAAAAAAGGATAGTGAGAGACTCCTTTTTTTCCCATCTGATCACAAGAAATACTTTGTAATTTAACAATATTAATGAAATATATCATTTCTCTGGATATGGTCTAAATACCAGATTTGTTTATGTTCTAGTTTATTCCTTCGTGAAATAATAGTGGGTAAATACAGAATTATATTTCCAAAAACAGAGGTATATTTCACTAGTCTTTGATATTGTGTAAGTAATGTCACATGATAATTAAATTTTTCAATGATGCATACCTAGAGTGGCCATATAATTTTTCACCAAACCAGTGCGTGGTCATGCTGTGCATAAAATATGCACGTCAGTGATTTATGCTCAAAAAATAGTATTGAAAATGGAAGTAAAAGCACAGTATTGTTTTCTATCATCAGTTTATGGACTGAAAGCCAGTGTCCGCATATTTAAATATTGCTATAATATTCTTTAGTTTCTTTTTTTTTTTTTCTTTTTTTTTTAGCTGAGCCATCCTGCTACCTGTTGGCAGCTCAGCGGCTACTCAGCTCGGGCTGGACTCAAACCGCTGTTGCTCAGAGCTCAAACTCTTGAGCGAGCTCTTATTTAGTTTCTTATCTGTGCCATTTTCAAACATTTGTGGCCTAAATATTTTAGTTAAGCTTATAAAGAGTATATGTGCCATGCCCAGAAGGGTACTTTTCTCTGTTGTACAGTAAATAGGAAAATCTGTGTTCGTGGAAGAGGGGCTTGTGTTTGTAAAAGGATAAAATGCCTGTATTATTACTAAGGGAATCAAGTTTTAATAGGATTCAGAGGTATATGTGTATGTCTATATATGCCTTTTCTTTAAAAATAGGGACTTGTTAAAGCAGTTACCTGATTTCAATTGGTTTTTCTTGAAGTGTAAAGTAAGAATATATGTAACATAGTTATGTTTTCCCCCAGGTGCATGAATACCTCAGAAGTAAACTTTGTTCACTGTATGAAAATGACTGCATATTTGACAAATTTGAATGTTGTTGGAATGGATCTGATAGGTAATTGATTTTAATTTCAACTTCTCATTCAAATGTTTTATTAGAGGAACGAAATTTACTATTTCATCACTCCTCCTGGTATGGTTACCATATTCACTAAAAATACGTTAAACTTTTTTTAGATAGACAAATTGCAAATCTTAACTTCATCCCCCATACCTCCCTCCCCAGGGTTTTCTTGAAATAAATTTAGTAATCTTATAGCAGTATTGGCAGATAAAAATTAAACATTGTATTTCACTAGTAAATGTGAAAATACACAAAAAATTCTAGATATCATAAATTATGATTTAAATATCTTTAAATGTTTCCCTTTTATGACCCAGATCAAGCACGTTTCACATGCCAACAGTTAAAATGGTGAAATTTCAGTTTAGTTGTTAACTCTACTGTTCAACTTTTTTTAGAAATATTTGGACAGTAGATAATTCATTTGGAATGTTACACACCAGTTTTTTCAGCTACTATATTAATACTTCATAGAAGTGATAGTCGCTATATATTATTTTAACCCTATTACCATGAGTAATAAGGCTTTTTGTAATCTGCAGCTTTTCCATAGTGTGATTTCTTTTTATTAAGTTATCAGATTTGTACCATTATTTCCAAGGATAAATAAGCCTTAATCTTTCAATTTTTGTTGCCAATATTTATTGTGTTCTAATAAAACAGAAAATCGTAGAAGAAAATGTGACTTGGGAATAACATAAACTTTCATTCAAGGTAATTTGAGGTACTTCATTCAACAGTAGTTTTATCACTGAAGCTTGATAAGATTTAGGTTTTGTGGTGTGTTCCATGTTATAGAGGGTAATAGAACTTAGATCATTTATCTTTTGTCTGGGTTTTTACATTATTTTCCTCTGATTATAACATGAGGCCCAGTATAGGCTAGCCACAATGCACCTAGAGTAGGAATAAGCAAGCTTTGCCTTTGATGCCACTGCTAAACCTAAGGCATCAAGGAGGGGGCAAAAAAGGGGAAGAAGAATTAGCAAATTTGAAGAGAAAGGAGATACTGATATAAAAGGAGGTGATGCACTGCTACAGCTAGTTCTTCTTCACATTGTTTAAATATATTGTTACCAGTTTTAAGTTATGTCCCATTATCAGAAGTTATTTCCCTTAACATTTAAAAATTTTTTTGAAATAATCTCAAACTTAGAGAGAAAGTACAAGAGTAATACAACTCTTACTTAGCCTCTACTCATGTTCCTCCTGTTGCTGTGTCGATCTCTGCTCTTTACTTACATGAATACACACACAAATAGATACACATAATTTTTTTTTTAACCAATGGGAATAAACTCCAAACAGGATGCCCCCATTACTCCAAAATTCTTTAATGAGAATATTTCCTAAAAGACACTGTCCTACAGAATGACAGTGCAAGCATCTAAAGCAGAAAAATGCCCATTGATGGACTATTTCATCTAATCCACACATCCCATTAAAAATTCACCATTTCTCAATTATGTCCTCTCGAGCAAAGAAAAAAAATTTTGGTTCAGTATCCAATCCAAAAGTACACGTGGCATTTAGTTGTCGTATCTCGTTAGTATCCATTAATCTGGAACAGTGCCTCCTTCTTTCCTCGTCTTTCATGACCTTGGCATTTTTGAAAAACACAGGTCATTTATTTTACAGAAATTTCCTTAATTTGAGCGTTGTCTAATGTTTCCTCATGATTGGATTCAGGTTACACATTTTTGACAGAACACCACAGAAATGCTGACATAACAGCACTTTTTAAAATTTACAAATAGCCATGGACTGGGTGTCCTGCCTCACACATTCATGGATGCCAGTCTAAGTTACATAAATCATTTAAAAAGAAATAACAGTTTTATTACCTTTAAGTACATGCACAAACTTGAGTTTGATTAAAATGCGTCAGTTGTTTTTGGGGGGAATTGACATTACTGAATAGATGGTAACTATTTGTAAATATATGGCCTGTATAATGTATAATACTTACAAGAGTTGTTTTCAAACATTACTTTAAACAGTTTCTTGGTGTCCTATAATTTTATTTACAACAATAATTTAAACCATGTGAGAAGGACATAGTAAGAGTATCACCAGACTTTTTACAAATTATTAACAGCTTCAAATACGTGAAGTCTTGCTTATTGGGATACTTAGTAAATGTTGAGCAGTGATGGATGGCAAGTAGGACTGACAGAACATGTCTTGGGCGTGGTAAGAAATTGGTACCTCTTTAAACTGGTACTATTAAAAATATTTGTCCAAAATTTTTTGCTTAAAATGTAGTGTTACAGGTAAAATGATTATCTGTTCATAAAAATTGCATATGCTACTTTCTTAATATTCTGAGAAGCAGATTTCCTGTAAGCATCATAAGATGTGATTATCCAAACCAGTCAGTGTCCTGGGAACAAATTAAATAGCTTATAATTTAAATCATAAAGCATTGGTTTCTTATGAACAGATGTGTACTGTGCCCTTTTGTTGTTTGTTTTAGAGCCTGTGAGTTCCACGGTTGGTATTTCTAGAAAGAAGTTGGCCGGTCTGGTTGATCGTGCACTGTCTGTAGTTACAAAAATATTAAACAAAGATAACTCAGTACCACTAAGAAGCTTTACTTGAGGATGTTTTCAACTCAGTGATGGTTTTGGTAGTCATGAAAAGGAGCCATTAACAGAAAACCATGTTAACTAGTTCCATATTTCTGGTTTGGTATCAGCAGCCCTCACCCTAACTGCTAATGTGCTTGAAGTAGCTGTTTCCGGTAGAGTACTAGGCTAGGTTTTATCACTGAGCCATTTTACTGAAAACAAACTCTTGTTCCCTTATTTGACTGAGTGCTCTGTCTGTCTTTACAGTGTTGTCATGACTGGATCTTACAATAATTTCTTCAGAATGTTTGACAGGAACACAAAGCGAGACATAACCCTAGAAGCGTCACGGGAAAACAATAAACCTCGCACTGTTCTGAAGCCACGCAAAGTCTGTGCAAGTGGCAAGAGAAAGAAGGATGAAATAAGTGTTGACAGCCTAGACTTCAACAAGAAAATACTTCATACAGCCTGGCACCCCAAGGAAAATATCATTGCTGTAGCTACTACAAACAATCTGTATATATTTCAAGACAAAGTGAATTAGGGTTGGCATTCCTAGCAGAAGAGCCCACTTCCTGCTTAGTTGAGATAGTTGAATCTAGCATTCGTACCTAAAAAAGAGAGAGGTCCATTGTGGCGCCCCTTTCCAGTGTTTGACAATGTGCCATTCGACAACACATTTTTTATAGCTACATGGAGAAAGCTCTGTGGATTCGTCACTGTGTGTTCTCCATGTCTGCTAGCCATTTAGGTAAGGGTAGGGCACTTTTAATTTAAATGACTTCTTGCACCATCTTGCCTAATGGACTAGATTGGACTGTATCAACATTGATTTACTCCACTTTTTATGCCTTCCATTGTGATGACGTCAAACACAGTGAAAGCCTTCAGTCATGCTTATGGGATTTAATTGTGTATCCTCATTACTGTATCATTTGTGGGGTACACCCCTCCCCCCCTTTTTTAAATTAAATACAGCTCATTCTTACTGTGGCTTGTAGCATTCCTCCTCTTCTGGCCTCCTGGACTCTTCCTCCCCTCATCTCTCTTACCCTTGCCCCCTCCACCCAGTCTTGGTGGTGGTATATTAAAAAAAGAAAGAACGAAAGCACACAAAATGAGTCAGTTTGGGGTCAGTGGTAAAGGGGGTGTATGTTGAGAACGAATGTTTTAATAACAGTTGGCTGTAATCACTCCTTGCCGTGTCTGGCACTGAAAATAAGGAAAAAAAACTACTACTGAATAAAAGTGACAAAGAATGGAGAATCTGGTTTTCTTTTTCTTTTTAATCTACCTCTTAAAGCCAATATTTTGTGTCATAACTTTGAGCGCAGTGAAATGAAATGAGTTTCCATTGTTTTATTGGTATTTTTTGTTAATTATTTTTAACAAGTGTTCTTTTACATGGAGAAGGAAAGGGTTCTGTATGGACATGTTTTGAATATATATTGGTATTACTAAGGAGTTCACAATCTATAAATGCTACTAGAGTTTTGGGTTTTTTTTTTTGTTTTTTAACTATAGTTATAAGGGTATTGGATACATTGTATCTACACTTAACTCGGTATCTGTTAATGAAATTGTTGTAAATGGGAACCAAATTTGTAGAGCTTCATTTTTAAAGACTTTTTACAGTACTTAATTTCATTTTTGCCTTACTAAATACTAAGACTTAAAAGACTTTTTTAACAAGTTAAAACTTTTTTTGTCATTCAATCATAAATCATAAAACTATCCTCAAGTGATTTACATAGATAAAATTGACACTGCACTAAATATTTTTTTTTGTATTTTATTACTATCAAATCTGAATGAAATGTACTTTGCCATAGATGTTTTTTCTCTATTTTTGGTTTTCCAAAGCTATTAATATTAAAGACAAACTTTAAAGGTACAGTGTTCGAAAAGTGCTTAATGGACTCCAACAGCTGCCTCAAATAAAAATTTAGTAATCTGTATATGACTACATTTCCCTAAGTGGTGATACCTTATCCAAAGATGAAGAGTACCCCTATTTTATATAGGTAGAATGTACCTTTGTCAGTCTTGCAGAAGAAGCTTTAATGGAGAACAAATGGACTTTATTTTTAAAAGATAAATTGAGTAGGCATTTATATTATTAGAGAATGGTAGTATGCTTTGCTTGAGCAGTAATATAACGACCTTGAATTTTAGAGGACTCTGAGTGCTTCCTATATGTCCACTACCTGTTGTTCTATTCTCATCAGTGAAAAATGATTAAGCAATTCAACCGTAATTCCCTCTACACTTATATAAATATTATGTCTTGTAACTTAACATTTTTAGCACACAGGAGAAATTTTATGTAATAAAATTACTGTATCTTTTGAACTTAAAAAATTTGAATTTGTGTTTAAACACATTGATTATATGTCTGATAATTCTTCAAATAATGGCACTTTTACTAATTTATTTGGGGACCTTGGGTGCATTCGCAATTTGTGTTATTTATTCTTCACACTTCACTTGGAAGTGGGCTATTCCCCTGCCACAAGTATCAAACACCGATACTCGGTCTCTGATCAGGCGATTTTCTAGGTCTTTTTGGGAGATTGTTTCCCTTAAGTTGGGGTGTAGGCCTTGAAATAACACCACCAAACAGCTCTTGGAAATTCTTTTTTGATTGAGCGGTAACTGTGATGATTCTCATCGGTGACACTAAGGGTTAGTTTTTTATATTTAAGAGAAACATTGCTAAAATTAAAATGCCTCTATAAAGGAATGCTATTATAAATTATTGTAACAATATTCTCAAGTATCAATTTTTAATTTCTTTGGTGTAGCAGACTAAGCCCAGCCACTCATATGGTCATGGTTAATCTTTTTATTAATAAAAATTATACTTAGAATAAACTTAGTCTTGTCAAGTTGCTTGTATTTTCCTATTCTCTTAACACCTACAAACATACACATATTCTATCCCTTTTGTCTTAACTTTTAAAAAAAATTACGATAGGAAATAGATCTCCCCTACTGCTAACCTCCTTTGATCTTTATTTAGTGGCTGGGCAATATTTTATAAATCTCTGTATATAAATATGTGTTTATGTAACAACTACTGGATATTAAGTTTTCTTCTGTGAAGCCATTAGTCTTGGAATAAAAGAAGTACACTTTTTTTCCTTTCAGATTAAGTGAGGATTTTTCTAAACCGTAAATGTGAGAAATATTCTGGTTACAGTTATTTCTAAAGAAAACTAGAAATATGAAAACAGGTTCTTTTATAGTGTACAACAGTAGTTACACAAGTAATGTAGAAAATTATATGTGAAAGAACAGTAACTGATATTTTCAGTGAAATATAAACCATTACCTCCTTAGGGAACACAGCTTCATTGTGGTTTGTTTTCTTTTGTTTACCACATCAATTCAAGTGGAGATTGTAATGTGCACTCCCGAAAGAACATCAAGCTCCCACCCCCCAACCCCCCAAAAAGGTGTATGAAAGGCAATCAAGTCAGATTAGTATTTGAGAGCACTACTATTTTAGGTATCTTATTTATCAGTTCAGACGGTTGATAAATGTTTTGACATGGTTTAAAAATATTTTTTATATACTCTCCCCAAAACTTTGTAAACTGACCCTGCTTCATTTTGTAATTGTGCATGAGGTCAAAATGTAACTCAATTTAGTATTTATTCAAATGCTCAGTAAATTTACAAAGTTCTCAAATGCTGAAGATAAGTTTTTAAGTGTAATGATAAATTGAGTTTTATTTCCTTGACACTTCACATAGTGGTATTAGACATTGTAACCTATGCTAATATACAAGAAGAAACACCCACCTGTAGGCTTAAAGTGAAGAATAACACGTGAAAGGCCCTCCTTTAACACAGTCCCTGTCAAACAGAAGGCACCACAAAGATCAGTTTCCTCCAAAAGGCAGAATCTGGCAAACAAAAATAAACTGGCGTGAGGGGAAAAGCTAGTCTTTATCTTTTTAATGTTCACTTTTGTTCGTTAGCAGTATGTGAACTGGAGTGCATTATTTGAGGCCTTGCCCACTAGGGGGCAACATTCAAGTCTTCAATAGCGTTTACAGGTATTGAGAGCAAACGGTTTCTGTTTCTGTATTGGGAGAGCTTCATCATTAAAAACCAAATCGGGGGCCAAATAAAGGCAAAACCCAAAATGTATTTATGTCGAAATGAAACCACTATTCATCAGGACTAGAGTAGAGTGAGAACTTGAGGGCCCAGTAATGGACGGGGAACCGAAATGGCAGCTGTGATGTCTGTCATGGCCGTACCTTACTGGGGAAGCAGCGAAAATGAAATTGGAAAGGGGTTCTCAGCTGCCCTTTCTTTTCAATCACAGGTTCCTCAGTCTGCCGACCCCTTTGCAAAATCAGACCCTTATGTGCCATGTTAGCTGCTTGCTTCACCAGGAGGCAAGGAATTACATATTGCACATTTATGCTAATTTATAACTTGGGGATGGCAACCCCTTTTAAAACTTGTGTTCTGAATACGTGTTCAGAAAGTTAAAAAAAAAAATACCCCACCAGTAATCTCATCGTTAAGAGAAAACTCCCATTCACATTTATTTTATTCTCTCTTGTAGGCATACATTTTTCTAATAGAAAACGGAACTGCGTATATACGTATTTAATGTCCCATTTCTCCACAGCATTGTATCTTGTGCATTCTCCCAAATCAAATGTTCTCTTTAAGCAAGATTTCCCTGTCTGCATAGTCTCACATTTATGGATGATTCATTATTTAACCAGTCCCTGTTGTCAAGACTGATTCTTGTTTTTATTTTTGCAAGCAGAAGTATTGGAATAGTGAACATACATACCAGTCATGATGTGTAAGGTTTTTAGGATACATTTCCAAAAATATAATTACTGTGTTAAAGGGTATGGTCATAAATTTAAGATGATACATAGATTTCCCTTCCAAAAGTGGAAGTTCCATCACTAGTGCACCAGATCTTTGAAAGTCATTTTGTTATAACATTGATGGGATGCCACAGAAACTTAACTCTTGCTTCTTATCAATTAGCTTGTGGTCAAATTGGTTTCATTATACATCATTTTGCTGCGGTTCCAAGAACCTATCAATATTAAGGACTTAACTGTATTACTGTATAGGGGATTACCCATATCTTCACATTCATTAATGGACAAAATCCCATGTTTTACCTTTAGTCAATTTGGAAAAGTAAAAAAATGGTAACCCAATCTGTGTTTTCATATTTCTAGCCAGATAATTTCTATAATCTGGATACAAGACCTTTACCAGACATGTGCTAAAGTTCCCTTTATCAACTTTTTCTTTAGTGCATACTGTTTTGGGTGTCGTATCTAAGAAATCTGCCTAACTTAAGGTGACAAGGAGTTCTTGGGGTTTTTTTTTTAGAAGTTTAATATAGTTTTCAGTTTTTACTCTCATCTACTTGAGTTTTCATATATGGCACCTATAAAAATTATGTATTTTTCTTTGCACCTTTGCCAAAAATCAGTGTTAGTCTCTCTCTGAAGTATTTCATTAGTTTATGTCTGTGCTTTCACCCATATCATTGCCTTGATTAGCTTTGCATAAGCAGTAAGCCAACTTTGTTCTTTTTCAAAATTGTCTTGCTATTTTTAGTTCCCATGCCTTTCCATATACATTTTTGAATCAGCCTGTTTACAAGAACAAAAACACCCATTTGGATTTTGATAATTGCACTGAATCCATAAACCAGGTAGAGTGGACATGTTAATATTTGTCCTGCAATCCATGAGTGCACCATATTGCTCCACATATAGAGGTCTTTGATTTATCAGTGTGTGTTTTTTTAGCATACAGATCTTGCACATATATTGTTAGTGCCTCAAAGTTTGTGTGTTTGCTCTTGTAAGTGGTACTTTTAAAACTTACAATTTTCAATAGTTCATAAGCATCTAGCATTTTACTATTAAGAATGTCAGTTGTAGGATTTTTGTAAGATAACCTTTGTCAGGCTGAGGAAATTCTCTTTTGTTCCTAGTTTGCTGAGAGCTCTTAATCATGAATGGATGTTGGATTTTGTCAGATGCTTTTCTACATCTATTGAAGTGACCATGTATAGTTTTTCTTCATAATGTTGACATGGTGAATTACATTGATTTTCAACTGTGGAATGAGCCTTGCAGTCCCAGAATTATGCTGGATTCTTCTGCTAGTATTTTATTGAGTATTTGTGCATCAGTGTTCATGAGTGATATTGATCTGTAGTTTCTTTACCTCGTAATGTCATTGGTCAATGTAATATT